GCTAGCGGACAGAACAGGAAAACCCTAATGTCTATGTGGCGAGGTGTGTCGTGTAACAAGATTTACTCTTCCTTTTGATTTTATTGCATTCACTTCTTTTGCCATGCCACACCATCACTACATAGCAATGCATGGGAATTGAATTTCTTTTAACTTAAAGGATGGTGTGAAAGGGCCCTTTAAATCAGTAGCATTAGATTGATCATTCTTGGAGGAACAAAATGACAATAGCCTTTGCAACTAGTGACTTCCTCCCTACGAACCAAGGACAAGTGAAAAAGGTAGCAAGCAAAGTATTGTCTATCCAGACTGACATTGACTATAGCTTTCACTCTAGGCCTAGCAAACTCCAGACCACATATAGCAAAGAACCATTACATGCTCTTCAACATATAATCCATCTTTCTCCATTTCTTCCTGTGATCTGATGAGGCAAGTAGTGTAAGGGGGAGGGAGGGAGGGAGAGAGAGAGAGAGAGAGAGAGAGAGAGAGAGAGAGAGAGAGAGAGAGAGAGAGAGAGAGAGAGAGAGAGAGAGAGAGAGAGAGAGAGAGAGAGAGAGAGAGAGAGAGAGAGAGAGAGAGAGAGAGAGAGAGAGAGAGAGAGAGAGAGAGAGAGAGAGAGAGAGAGAGAGAGAGAGAGAGAGAGAGAGAGAGAGAGAGAGATTATTTAAGCTTTAAATGCATTTCCTTCTTCTTATTTCCTCATTTCCATATCTAAAAATTCTTTTCAATAGTTTCTTCTTTACTTTCTCTTGTTTTTGTGAATTTTTAGCTCTTTACCTTGATGTCTTAAAAGTTATATTCTTTGTATGAGGGGGTAGAGGGGACAAATGAGAGCCCCACCTTTATAATGGAGTAAGGAAAAGTGATAAAGAAGAATTACAAGTAATTTTGATATCATTTATTTATAGTGTATCTTTCCCTTTAAACAGAAATAGATTAATAATCACTTATTTATTTATCCCCTATGTTAAAAATATGGTTACAATATATCTAAATCTCATCATTTAATTACATATCTTATAAAATTATCTTTTGGCAAATATCTCGTAAGTTGTAGCTAATTTAATGTCAAATTATTTTAACAATTTTTTTATTTCATGATTGAACATTCTTATTAGCAATGAAAAATTTAATTAGACACTTTAATACTTCAATAAAAGTATCTGTGTGAATGTATATTGAAATTATTTAAATTTTAACTTTTTTACATTGGATTATTAAGTCTAAAACAAGCTAAATAGTCAACCAGGAAACAAAATGATTGAGTTTGAATTTTTACACCAATTATAAAAGTCTAAATAATAAGGCCAAGAGATATATTCAAATTTATTTTGTTTATTCCTTCCTTCTATATAAACTCCATAATAAAATTACAATTATAAAGTTATGGAACTCAAAGTAATCCTATGCAATTCTATCTTGATATTAATGCTCATCCAACAAGCAAAATCTTATTCAGCACCATCACTCCAGGATTGTATTGACACTTTTCACATTAGAACTAATGTTGGAGATTATTGTAATTGTGCATCATTAGTTTGGATCCAATTTGCTCTAAATAGATTCCAGCCTGGTACCTATTCTTATGTAATTGGCACCTTAGGCATCTTTCTAACGATTGGCTGGTTTCATGGAGGCACACGTGCAGACTTCATAGAGGCCATTGAAGATATCTGGGAAATATGTTTAGCTCACAATGAAGGTGGAGGAGTGATTGTACTTAGAGATGGATCTTTTATGTTACGGGTAGTGCATGCTCGAGAAGACTTAACAATATTTTCAGAAACTATTAAAGTAAATAATCCTTTCATAATGGAGTTGCCTGATAAATGTAGGGATCTACCATGATTGTACACATTTGCCTCTAAGCCTTAAATCTAAACATCTCTTTACTTTCTTCTCAGATTCAAAGCTGACGAGCTAGCAACGTACCGTTTGCACGAGAGAGAGGTCGGAGACAGTCTCGTTACCCACAAGAGCGCTGAGACGTGTAGAAAACGCATAGAATGTCGGGAAATCGGATATACATTCCTTTCTCGTACAAATGGTGTTCTCCTCAATTTATCATTCACAATAACGCACATGCTGACAAGCGGCTATGGATCTGGATTCACGATCTGGGGAGCAAGAAATCCAGATTTGCTATTGAATATGTCCAAACAGCAAGTGTAGCAGCACAGTGTTGGAGTTGCCTCGGTGAAAGCTTGTCAACTGTGTCAGATTGGGTATGGTGATACCTTTGCGTAAACACGGACGAGTGAGTAGAGAAGAGCTGGAGATAAAATTAACATACCAAAAGTATCCACTAGTTCCAAAGTTGACGTCTGGATATGGAGGATTGCTGAAGGTTTTGCACGGATTGTTTGATAAGCTCCCAACCCGTGGGTCCAGAGTCACTAGGCTTCCACAAGGAACTCCAGCATCACACTGAAGATATGTATGTCATCTCGGTGACAAGAAAAACAAGACATGGAGATGCTTACCATGGGTGAAATGTCCGTCCCTATGCTCTGTCCACTGACATTTCCGGATCCAATCCCCGCCAGAAAAGCTTTTCCGATCTAAAGAGGCATTTTACGAAGTTGCAGAAGTTCTTCTTGAAGCTGTAGTTACTGTACCTGTTCCAGAATGGACCGTGCAGCTGTGGAGCCTTGAAAAGAAATTCCCAATGGAGTGAAAGTTCCTTCGTCAGACTCAATGGCTATACTCGTCCTGGTTTCATGATAAGAAGAACAGGAAGAAGAGAGGCTGAGACTTACAACTTCGACTCATGCTTGTGGTTAAGGTAGTATTGCTCAGCACCTTTTGCACCATTTTCTTCATTCACAAACAGCACTGCTCGAAGCGTACGGTGTGGCCTTAGCTTTAGCTGGTGAATAAGTCGCACCACCTGGAAAATGCAAATGGAATGAGCTACAACATCCTCCGTAAAAGAATAAAGAATACCTCCCAAGAAACAAATGCTCCCCCAGCATCATCCATTGCACCATCTGCAATGTCCCAACTGTCCATATGGCCTCCAAAGACGACCACCTCGTCCGGTTTTTCTGCACCTTTGATCTCCACGATCAAGTTTCTGGAAGGAACATTGCAAGTTTCATCAAACGAAACCAATAGAACCGAAAGTGACATACCGCGAAGGCTTGTCAGGTAACATATGAGCCTGCAACGACGCATTTCATATATACACAGAATGAAGTTTCCAAGACTTTTACCTCCATGTAAAGCTCGATGACAATCTCTTGGCCTCGAGCTTGCATTCTTGCTAGCATTCTAGAGTCTTCCACGGATATCGCAGCAGATGGTATTCCAGTAGTTCTAGTGGCACCGGTGTGAGGAGTCTATAAGAAAGAGCTATGTTAATTCACAAAATTTCCTCTTAAAGAAATAATCACCTGTAAACCATACGGTGTCATTGAGTGAACGAGAGCGGCAACAGCACCATACTTTTCGGCCCGTGTCGCTCCTAGTGTCCTGTACTTGACAGTGTTTGAGTAGCCTTGATCAAAGTTTACATTGTAGACGACGATCTTTCCTGTTCAGATGTGATTTCCTCAAGGATAAAAGAACCGAAAAAAGTGGACTGGTCTTTCAGTTTACCTTGCACGTCACTGGCTCTTTGATCAAGTTCTTGGAAGGACGAAACGACAATGGCCTTTGCAACCAATGACTTCTTTCCCGGCGTGCCAACGCTCATGCCTAGACCGACCATATGAAGCTCCTTCACTCTGGGAGATAAAAGCCTAGCAAACTCCCGGCCACGTACCCAGGAAGGAACCATTACGTACTCTTCAACGACAGATAATCCATCCTTCTCCATCTCTTCCTGCGATGAGGGAGGTTCAGCTTAAGCAAGGAAAAAGAAAAAAGAGAGAGAAAGGCTTACTCTTGTCCAATCTAGAGCGTTCTCGAGAGCATCGGAGCCACTGAAGCGAGGTCCAAACGTATCAGTCATGCACGCAATCCTCTCGTAAACAATACTAACGCCATCGTGAAAATGAGAAAACCTGGCCAAAGAAAAGAAGGCACTCACTCGGAAGAGAATGCCGCATCGATAATGGCATCGGCATCGTCCTTGGCCTGGGGCGGGAGCAATGGCGTCGCTTCCGATCGCCGTGGTAGCACTTGGGTATGCTGCGAATGGCGCCAACAATCAAGATCAAGAACAAAGAAACGCCAATTGAGCTTACCTGATAAGCACTCACCAGCACGAGGATGGCGACCAAGAGCCAAAGCGCCATCTCCCCAGGAAGAACTAAACCCTGCCACAGTGAAGGCCTGCAAGGAATAAACAGAACCGTGCGCCACTGGATTGGACGGCCCATATTTGCGCGGAAAAATTTGAAGTTTACATCACAGGAAATAAGAAACCTTTACGTTTGGTTATTAGTACGGCATTGTCTCCTCCCTGTGTACGAAAGACAACAACAACAACACTAGACAAAGATATCCTTTTCGATCTTCCGTGTATGATGTGTCTGGGCATCGACATCATTCCGGGACCAGCGAAAGAGCGAGAAAAGAGTATCGATAATTTTTAGATGCCACTGCGCTGTTCACTGTCAGTGGAGACGCGAAACAAGGCAATCGAAAAAGCCGAGAGAGAAAAAAAGAGAGAAAAGAGCTTCCGCCTTCCACTTACCTCCCGCAATATCGTCGTCAAAGCGCTTTGCGTCGGTGGCTGCTAAAGTACCTCTAGTGTGGTCTCGTTAGTTGTGGACTCTCCAAAATTTAATCATAGCACGGGGTACACGCAAGATCCATAGCCTGTACAACGAACACCAATATATTTAGTATCAAAAGCAAACCAACAAGAAACTCGGAAAGATCAAACTGACAGAGAACACTAAAAGAAAACCAAGTAAACGATGACAACTATAGTTAGTATCAAAAGCAAACCGACATGAAACTCAGTAAGAACACTAAAAGCAAACCAAGAAAACAGTGTTAATCCTAGTTAGTATCAATAGCAAACCCACAAGAAACTCAGTAAGATCAAACTGACCGAGAACACAAAAAGAAAACCAAGAAACAATGGGGACTATAGTCATATCAAAAGAGCAAGATCAAACTGAACGAGAACACTAAAAGAAAACCACAGACAAACAACAAACTCAGTAAGATCAAACTGACCGAGAACACACCAAGGAAACAATGTCATCTATAGTTAGTATCAAAAGCAAACCGCGAACACTGAAAAAGAAACCAAAGAAACAATGAAAACGATCGAAACTTACTTGGATCCACGCTGGTCAGCTTGGCAAATCCGTTGAAGGCGCACGTCCCGCCGGACCTCTTCATCTTTTGCCAGTAGGAGTTGAAAGCGTACGAGGCGTGGAGCCTGACGAGGTTGGGAAGATAGCAGGCCTGTCCGGGCTGGATTGCCGCGCAGTCGGCCTTTCCCCCTCCGCACGCGTAGTCGATCGCGTCTTGGACGTCGGCGGTGCTCACGTAGTCGGCCTTTGCGACGCACCACTGCCCCTGCCTGGACGAGTTTCCAGTGGAAAAGTTCCCCGGAATCGCTGCTTGGGGGAGCGCTGGCACCTGGGAGGCGTTTGCCTTTGGAGATGAAAAGTAGGACGACGACGACGTAGCCGCCGGGGATGAAGGTGCTGCTGCTGCTGCTGACAGAGCCGGATACTTATCCACGGGAGTCTTCCCGGTTAGATCGATGTCGTAGACTTTGCTACCGTTTGGATACAACAGCCCCCAGTTTCGCTCTGTCGCGGCACCCGGCTTTTGATCCTCGTTGAACAGAGCAAAGATGTAAGTGTCGATGAGCCTTCCGGGTCGTCTAGGAGTGCCGTGGTTCTTGTTCTTCCTGTTCTTCCCGAGAATTCGTAGAACCAGCCTCCTGTTGTAATCGGCTGCATTGGCAAGCGAGGCCCCGACGGAGCCTCTGCTCGGCCACCCGGTCTCACTTATAGAAACCTGGACGCCACCATAGCCGAGCTTGGTCATTGCGACAACCAGCGCGTCCAGCTGCGCGTCCAGGAGGTTGTCGTAGTGCATGCCGGAGGGATCCTCGGCCTGCGAAGCATTCGAAGACGGCCCTCGAAAGAGCGCGTAGTCGAGCGAGATGGTCTGCTGGTCGTCGAGCCATGCAAAGTATGGGTAGACGTTGATGAAGAACGGGCTCTGCGTCGTCTCCAAGAACTTGAGCATGGGCTGGATGATGGCGTCGGAGATGTCGTCTCGAAACACTCCATCGGATGGAGGGAACGAGACCTTCAAGCAGTCGATGGCGAGGGACGTGGTGACTTTGATCTTGCCGTGGCCTAGCCGCTGGAGAGAGGAATGCAAATTCTCCATAGCCGGGACGAGCTTGCTCCACACCGTTTGCCTGAGGGAGAGGTCGGAGAGAATCTCGTTGCCAACGATGGCGGTCTCGATCTTGGTGGCGGGGTACGCTGCGACGTTCTGCTGGACCCATTGATCCGAGAAGTTGGAAGAGGCGGCCATCTGCTCGATCTCCTGGTTGGTCACCATGATCGCCACGCGGAGATTCGTGCTCTGGAGCGCCTTGAGGACGTCGGGATTGGCGTCGTAGATCTTGACGCTGCGGATCTTGAGCGACTGGAGGAGCTCCACGACGCGGGCGGGCGGGGGGAGATTGTCCGCCACTCGGCCATAGTTGATCCCGATGGCGTGCTGCTGCTGGTCGTCGGCGAGGAGCACGGCGAAGACGAAGGACACGGCTGGAAGGAAGGAATTCCACACATCAGTACCAAGAAAGCTGCTAGAATATCGATGCGATGGGGAGCCAAAGAGAGCTGGAGCGTAGAAAACGCATAGAATCTCAAGAAATCCTCGAGCGAGGAACCGATGCTCGAGTGTGGAGGAAGCGAAACACTGAGACAAGGACACAAAAGGGGAGAATGCGAGAAGAAATGCGAAGACCCCAGCGAAGAACTAGAAAGAACTCTTGCATACCAATGCTGGCGACGAAGAAGAGCACGACCATAGCCACGGCGAGCATGATCGAAAGCCCCGTCCCTGGCCGCCGCGTCGCCGCCTTCGCGTGCCTCGCCATTGCTGCCGCAGCGATCCCGACGCCGTCGCCAGATCTTCACGTCCGGATTCTCATCCTCGGCCTCTCCCCAGAATGTAGGATTAGGGCTCTCTCCCTCCTCCTTCCTCACTTAACCGCCATAGCCAGGGAGCTTGATTGCTTCGCTTCCTCGCCTCCTCCCCCCTATACGACAGCGAGAGTAGTATTGTACAAAACCCAGCCCGTGCCAACTCAGCGGCTGCGGCCAATCACAGCAGCAGACACGTGGCGGGAGCTTACAGCTCGGATCTTTTTCGTCGTCCGTACAGCCTCCGTGTCCACGGATCTCTCTCTCTCTGGCCTCTCTGAGATTCCTCTCGTGGAAATTTTTCGTCTTTGTCAAGGCGGAGGACCCATTATTGCTGTGTGAACATCAACAATAAAGAGCGCAAAAGCAATAAAATAAAATAAAAGAAAGCGAGACAAATAGATAAAAAAGATTATAAACACACACACACACACACACACACACATACAGTGACGAGACGCGGGAAAAGCTTACGCAAGAAAATGGACAAGCTCGTCGCCGAGAAAGCCTGGAAAACAAAACGTTCGTTCGGTGCTGGTTGGAAGGAAAATCAATACTGCGAGCGCTACGTACGACCTCTAAAAGAATCCAAACCCCTTCCCTGGAGCCGCCGCAAACAAGCTATACTCCCCAGCGTTCATGCTCGCCTTATTGATGCCACTGGGCAATCGGTCCATACACTTGATGCTCACCACCACCTCTTCTGCGTTGGCCTCGCGCGGCGGCGACGATGCGAGCTTCGGAGAGTCGGAGACAAGCGGCGGACAAGCATCGCCACCATTGCTACTGGCACCACCACCACCGCCGCTACTACCACCACCACCAGAAGTAGCAGCTCCGCCACCAAAGTGAAACAACGAGAAGGTGTTTGGCGTGAATCTAAACTCCTTCTGGAGCTCCTGGAATGAGAACGTCGCCGTCTGCATTGGCTCCCCCAGCGATCCCGGCTTCTCCACCTTGAAGCTCTGCTGCTGCTGCTCTTGGATCTCCGGTGCTAGAAGCGGCCTCGTCGCGTCCACTGGTATCCACGCCGCCGCCGCGTAGTCCGGTCGAGGACGCGGCGGCGGTTGCGCTTGCATGGAGACCATCTCGGCGGCGGACAGCGATGGCATCCTCAGGGGAGGATGGAAAATGCGAGGAACCGGAAACCTGGGATAGCCGAACGCTGCCGGTCCTGGAATAAACATCGGCGGTGCTGCTCCTGGAATGAATGGAGTCCTGGCTTGAGGCCCTCCCCACGGGCCGTGCACCGCAGGAAAGCACGCGAATCCTGGCTGCTGCGACTGCGGCGGAGGATGCCGGTGGATATGGTGGTGAGTCGGAGGTGGAGGCGGCGGCGGCGGCGGCGGCGGCGGTGGTGGCGAGTGAACTGGTAGCATCTCCACCACTGTTGTGTACGTGTGATGGTTCTTCGCCGCTCCGCCATGAACGAAACCATTCACGTAACCGTTTCGAATGACTTCCGGTGAGCAGACTGGAGGAGGATATGGAGTTCCCAGCGGTGGAGCAGTAGCAGTAGTAGCGGCGGCGGGAACCGAGCATGCTGCAGCTGGGGTCGGACAAGTTTCCGCTGCACTGGCTACTTCTGCTGCATCCTTCGGCTCCTCCTTCGCTACGTCGGCTCTGTTTCTCGGGCTTTCTTTCCGGCTATCAGCATCCATAACCTCAGCCGAAGCTCCACTTAAACTGCCATCTCCGATAGCCTCCAGTGGCTTTTCCAGCTCTGTCCGATCGACTAAAGGTTCCACCTGCATCATCTGGCTGTCCGATGATTTTTCCTCATCCACCCCGCATGACAACGACTCGTTGGCAGGGGCGGCTTCTCCCTTGGTCACACCACCCACTGGATCCTCTAGAGAACAACAGACATCTCCATTCAGCTGCACGTCATGCTTCACCCCGTTCGCGTTTAAGCCTTTCGTGACAACTTTCGTGTATGTCATGCCTTCCTTCCTCGACCTTACTGATTCAGGAGAAGTGGGAAGTTTCTGACTGCCTAGATTGGTCGTTGCCGGAACCCGGCTCTTAAACACACCAGCCTTTACGTGCAGTTGCCTGGACTCTGGTTTCCTAGTCACCTTTGTAGGAGACTCCTGCATTCTCTTGGCCCAGAATGTGGTCGTGCATGCGCATTGCTGCGTCTCTTGTCTGGCCATCGGAAACCCGTTACGAGCTTTCAACGGCTCGCTGTCAGTTTGCCGCTCTTGTATGGCCAAATCTGAGGAGCCCCTGTGACTAACTCTTTCGAAAGTCATTGATGTCCCTCGTCGAGAATATCTAACTGGAACTGAATCAGCCACCTGCTGTCTCTTGCCATTTGATCGCCTCTTTGCTGCCTTGGACTGCTCTACAATGAATGCTCCGTTAGCGTCCCTCGAGTTACCAGTGTCCAGAGTGCGTCCGGCAGGAGACTCTCCGCCGCTTCTCTCAGATTCGTCTGGCACCAGCCGCACTTCTGTCATGTCCGATAAACTACCTTCTTCATTCTGTTTGCTATCAGCTTGAAGTGCAACATTCTCCTCGGATCTCGTGGAAGACGGTCTTCCACCTTTGCCTTTCTCCTTCTCACGTTCTTTGCACTTGAGCTTCTCTTTCCTTCTCAGCTTCTTTTCCTTCTCTTTTAGTTTTCTTCTTTCCCTGCGCTCCTCCTCTTCCCTTTTCTCATGCTCTTCCTCTTCCAAAAGCTTATTCTGCGAGGATTTCTGCGTTAAAAAACGGGAGGAATAATCAGAAGACACATACCTGCTTTTCCAACGTGGCTATCTCTTTGCATGCAACTCGTACTCGGTCTTCTAGTAATCCAAGAGCCAGGCAAACGAAAATACTATGTGCATTTTGCCGAGCAGTTCCCTCCCGGAACGCTTTCTCAACCTACATAAGCAGAGATGATGACAATATTCAGCTAAAACTACTTTTTTCTGTAAGCCTGCGCACCTGTTCCTTGAAAATAACCGTTGCTGCGTCTAGAAGAAAATCGCGTGCAAGCTCGGGACTTTTAGCGTGCTTTTGCGAACGAGAGCCTTCACCATCCAGTTCATTGCCATCTTTGTCGAAACCATCGTCGTCCTTGAATTCAAAACAACGTTTAGTGAGTGACATGATAGACTGAGGCACAATCCCTACCTCCTCTTCTTCTGTTTCTTCTGCATGCTCGAAAAAGCGTTGTATGCTTTCGCCCTCAGTAATGGAAACAATCCCGTCACCGACAAATAGCCGACGATGTACACATAATTCACCCTTCAAAGCATGAGCTTTGACGGTAAAGTCACTACATCTCCCGTCACGTTTCCAAGCTCTGAGAGTGATGAAACAGTCGAAGATATTTCCTAGATCTAGGCCCTCCACTTCCACTCTGTCCGATAAACCCACATCTTCAAAGCCAAATATGTCGGACTTGCCTTCTGCAGTTCCCAGTGCCCACTCAAAATGTTGGTATGGAGTGCCAACTTCCCCTGCGATTGATTCATGCCAATCTGCTTGTACTGCATTATCAGATACCTATCAGATAAAACTGAGCGCATTAGAAACAACCGAACATAAACATAGAAAGATAATACCTCATACTGGAACGTAGTATCCGCAGCACAGAACCATCTTGTGCATCTTGGCTCCTTCCTAGCTCTCTTCAGCTCCTTCATTTCTTTGAACTCGCGAAGGACATTGCGTCGACAATCCCTACAAAACCTTTTGCTGTCGAATCTGTGAACGAATGTTAAAGTCGCACTCAAACGAAAAAGGGAAAAAGATGATGTACCTGAACATAAGTCTCTCGATGAAGTCCTCCTCTTTCATCCTCAAAAGGGACCGTCTTGTCTCTTCACTTAAAGCCGACCAAAAATCCACTAGAGCTTCGCACGAAAGTCTGGTCGTATGAAGAGCACAGGTTTCCTTTATTCCATGGCCTCTGCCCGACGAGTAAATACCACTACTCTGGCTTATCCAGCCTCGTCCATTCCCCCCACAGGCGTCCGGGTAAAGCAGCTCTCGTTCTCGCTCCCTTCCCCGTGCACTCTCAAACACCTGAGAAGTAGTACTACACACTGTCAGTTTAAACAACTGCAATGCGAGATGTAAAGCAAAAGAAAATCCTAAGAAGAGAGGCAAGTAATCCGGGGGTACATTTTGGAGCACCTCGAGTGACGTCCCGTCTAAGAAGCAGTCGAGGACGGTAAGCATGCAGTCCCTTGTTGCTGCTAATCCACCCCAGGGATGAAGGGAGGGATCTTTCGCATCGTCTTGAAGCGTCCCAATGTAGCCAGCACCCGCATTGCCATTAACTTCGTCCTCTGGGTAGACTTTCCGGCACTTGGAAGTGTTACGTCCAACGGAGAGGTTCTTGCCGTACATAACAATCTGAGAGAATCCTTCCACCAAAAGTCCATGGCACCTGGAGCAGTAGAGATTCTTGCGGACTTGTTCGAATAGAGTTTGCTTATCGATGCGGAGCAGGTTGCGCCTGGCATCGGCTGGAAGCCCATTCCAAAACTGCAATGAGCAAATCGCAGCGTGTTAAAATCTCGTTCCAGGTTATGCCTAGCAAACAATAAGCTTCTCTGACACCCCCTGTGGCTGCATGTATAGACACCAAAAAAAAGGCAGTCATGAGGAAAAGCGCTAGAACAATTCTACATCACCACGACGAAATCCAAAACGAGAGAGGAAAACCAAATGAAAGAAAATTGTAAAACAGCCAGCTATGGACTTACCTTTTGAAGCTGCGAGTAAGTGACATCTTCAGTGTTGGAGCGAGACCATATAGAGTTTCGTGCGTCGCTGGGCGTGTTGCATAGCGAAGACCCGGAAGAAGACGACGTAAAAGAGTGATGGACCTTGTTGCGCGATAGACCTGGCATTTTCACAAAAGCCTGGGATTTTTCCTACTCCTCTCCATTTCTGACGTCTATATCATCAATCGCTGCGTCCTCCGGCAGATCTCACGACCAACCTAATCACAAAGCAATGCGGCGTCAAAGAAAGAGAAAGGGTTTCCACAACGCAAAACAACAAAAGACCTAATCCAATCCAACGCCATGCCCGGACCTTCGATCGATCCATCCATCGACCGATCGATTACGATGCGAGGACCGGGGCCGACGGCCGCGAATTGGATCTAACAACCAGAAACAGAGCTTCGAGATCAAACCTCATTCCGCGCTGTGCTGCGCCAGATCGCGCCGGATTCCCGATGCTTCGCCGCGCGCGGTCGAGGAGCGATCGCGCTAGATCTAGACGCCGATTGCCTGAGATCAAGAGAAAACCTAGACGGATCGCTTTGGCGAGGGCAAAGGCAACGCCTCGCCAGACAAAGGGCCCTCTATTCCTCGTGTAAGAAAACCGAAGCGAGGGGAAGGCTTAACCGGAATTTACTAACTATGCAGGCGTCCGTGTGTCTCTTTTTGCCCTTGTCAATGAGGCAGCGGGGTCCGTGGTTCGATTCTAGGCCTTCTCATACTAGAATATTCATAGAATGTACCCGTTTTTACAGATAATGATATTCTGTTTTTAAAGAGTTGGTAGCCTTGAAAATAAGAAGATTTTTTGGGATGAGATGAGATGTCAGTGGTAGCATGACTTTTAATAAATACTTAAAAGCATCATGCCTTGATAACATAGTTAAACACCACTCTTCATTTACAACTTCAATAAGTTTTTCAAGACTAAGTGATGACTTAATAAAGATTTTACTATTTACTTAAAGGTAATGCATGAATAACCATGGCTTAGCAAGAGTCTTTATTGAGAGTTTGAGATGTATAACAATTTATTTATGATGGCACACAATATTATAATGCACATAATCACATTTTAATTGCTATAATAGCAATCAGAACATAATTGTGTGCATTAGAATTTTAGCATAGGGAATTCCACATATGAATCCAACCCATGCAAGTTGGCATTGCCTATAACACACAGAAATATCTAAGATTGCTAGATGCTATGTTATAATTAGGTGGCAAAAAAATTCAAAGATTGCATTGAGTATGGTACTTGGCAATAAGATCATGTGCTCCAGCTTATCTAATATACCATATAGCACCATAATCTTTATTAATTCACTAATAATTTCATCTAGCACCTACTGCTACTATGAGATTCTGCTCCCCTAGATCAAATCGGTGTTACGTAGCACTCACAATTGTGAGGTGGGGATTGGTTAGACTCTAGATCAATATTCAGGTGTATTTAGCTGTGTGTTTAGTGCCTTAGGAGCTTTAATCGAGTGCTCTAGTGCAGCAATGGTGTCACTGAATTAGCATAGCATGCACTGGACAGTGACTAGAGTGTGGAGGCTCATGCCCAACAATATTTTGGCATGATGTTTGGTTTAGCTAGACTTCTAATTAGGTTGAAAGATCAATCATCTTATCATAGATTCTTACCAAACTAAAAAATAAAGAAGAAGAAAGAAGATGTTGATGTGGCAATAAATTGAAAATTCATATATGTTTATGTATATATACATATATATACATACATACATACATACATACATATATATATATATATATATATATATATATCTGTGTGTGTGTGTGTGAGTGCATGGAATATGGAAATAGAATATAAAAATATGTATATTAATTAGCCCAAAAACCCTAGCTTATATATAAGAGCAAGTAGTCCAAATTAAAACTAATCCTATAGCTACTAAAATCCCACTATACTAATATTAATATACAGCATCATAGCTATACAATTGGACTTCCATCCCCTCCTCTCGAAATGATGGAAGACAATCAAGGTTTTCTTGTGGATGGGCTAAGATTTTGTAACACATATGGTTTTTATCCTTTATCCTATGATGATTTACCATAGAATAACCACAAAGCAAAACCTAAACCGTCCATGTGCCACATATCACATGCCATATGCCACGTGTCTAAAGGACAATGGTGCGAAACCCAAGTTTCAAGGCCTTGGGCCATTTAATGCCAGGACTAACACGCAAAATGGAGCCAAACAGAGTTTAGTGCTATTTCAGCATACAGATGGCTTAACACAAGGATATGGGTACTTCACCAACTCACATGGAATGCAATTTAAGTTTAGACTTAAGTTAGACGCAGAACAAGGACAGGCACACAAGCAAGAGCTAGACTATGCCTCAAGTTGATCAACCATGCCCAACCTACCCACTATCCTTACTATACCCCCACAAAGCCTCCCCTTAAGGAACGCACGTTTGGGCTTTAGCCTCCCTTAGTATTAAGAGTTAGTCTTTGGGATTAACTCAAAACTTGAATGGCACTAAATTGTGAATTTGGATACGGGACCATTATGTGCAAAACAATATCTACATTTCGTAGATATGCCAAATGAGCAAATCTAGACACTTTCCATAAATAACATTTGGGACCGAATGATACTAACACAAGGTGCATGATAGTGAAGATGTTTGGTAGACATGGTAAGTTATCATTTAACGAATATTGAGGGACCAATCTCAATATCGCGGGGGTTCTCAACACTAGCAAGTGCAAGTCAACAATATAAATTTCTCGTCATAATGTCAAATATGCTTGACTAAATGACAACTTAGGATTTCCTTCCTTAGTGCCTTTCTAGTCTAAGTGCACATGTGATGATCAGTTTTTCAACTAGTTTAGGCGGAGACTAATAAAGGGTCCAACAATACCGACCTCTTACTATCATGGTAGTAAGGAAAGAATATCCAAAAGGACTAATTGACAAATAACTTTTGATACCTAAAGTCACATTCGCGACACTCTCCCTCCCTTAGGGAAGATCGACGCCCTTGTCAATGCATACTCCAGCCTAGACCACCACCATGGAAACAACTTTAGAAAAAGTTCATAGTGATCACACTATGTGAGAAATGCACTAATTTAAATAAGTTAAAGTAACCTCTTTGTCTAACATGGATGCACTATCAACTCAGACACCTTTTGGCCATTGCTGACAAAGAAATGATTAATGGAATCAGCCACCCTTCCTACTTTGGGTGTCACTTAGCTTACAAAAGTTTGATATGCCCCTACCTACAAGGACATAGAGAGAGAAGCCACCCCAACCCTCCTAAGCAAAGAAACCAAACATGTTAGTAAGGTTTAGATAGACTATTGCAAATAGGCAGTTAGAGTTGTTTATACGGTCACGCCCTTTTAATGAAATAAAAAATATTGACAGAGAGGCAAGTGATGTGACTAGTTGATAGTAACTACCCCATGACTAGAGATTTCACTATGCACACGAAGTGCCGAAGCCAGTCTGCCTATACTAACCCAAACTCAAAAATCAATACATGGACCCTCTCCTGTGCGAGATGCCACTGCCATTGGGCCTACCGACAAGGTCTTCAGAGCCCATCATGAGCAGCGTTGTCCAGGTGAAGCTTTGTTTGGCCTAGCCTAGGCATATGCCACAAGCAACACATTCCATGACACAAGGTGGCATCGGGAAAGAGGTGTTTGATTGGAACCTTGCTTGCTTCATACTTGCAGCAGGGGCTTGTGGAGGAGGCCTCGGTTGGAATGCAATTCACACATAGCTTTGTGTTGACGGTGATAGTGCTTTGCTCCACTCAAATCTGGCCTCACACAATGGTGCTTGAGCTCCCAAGGAATTTGCTAGGGGTCTTTTCCCCAGCCTCGCTAGCGTGTCTTCCAAGTACGTCCTCATACCCAAATTCTGACCGATTCGAGCATTGGCCTCAGAAATCCTCTCTTCTCATGCCGTCGGCAAAGTTCCTGGGATCCATCTCCAGCTGCCCAGCTCCACTGCTCTTGAAACAACCATGGATCCTGGCCGCTTCTTGGAACAAAACTTCCACTCATGTTTGCTGCTGTTCCTGGAAAGCCTTGCAATCCATACACTAGTGGATGAGTGGCCTCTACAGCTTCTCCCTATCCCTTGACTCCTCTCCACCAAGTCCTCCAAAATCTAGAGTTGGGATCCCGTGACTTCCTGGCATGAAATGTTGCTGGTATGGCTGGAATAGACCATTGTTGATGTTGTGGAGGCTCCCAAAGGAAGACTGTAAGATTGGCTTGAGAAAACCAGGAACTAGCTGAGACATCTTTGATCATTCTCCAGCGTCATGGACACTATCAGTGATGGCCTTGTTTTGAGCTGCCAGCTGCTGATAATTCTCCCACTCCCACTCTGATATGGATGCCTTGAACTTATAGTGTCACTGCCACCGACTATGACACTTGATCCACCACCTATTTGATGGCATGCTTGAGAGGAGGCCTTTCACAATTGGCAATGCTAGTGGTTTTTTGTTTTTACTCTTTATCTCTTTTCACTTTTATTTTACTTTATCCATTTATTTTTACTTTTACTTCCATTATTTTTCTTTCCTTATTATGTTTTATAATATTTTCTTTTTACTCTTTAATTCCTTTTTTAGATCCCTTAGCCTTTGTGTTAGTGTAGTTGATTGGCTCAAGAAAGAGTATATTATCTTATTTTGACTTTGAACTTTCATATGAAGCTAAGCTTTTATTTCAACTGGGAATGCTCATACTATAAAATTCTTATTTGGCATCAGTCACTATAAAAAATAAGAAATATTAAAGAAATATGTTATCCAAAGTCTCAAAGTTTTTAAGTATGTGATGATGTGATTATTTTAAATATATACCCTTTTCCTCACACTTCAAATCCTACCAATCTTCTGGATCATTTAAATATTGCTTCTATGTATTGGCAAGTGTTAATGGCTAAAAAGGATGTTTTTAAAAAAAACATCTATACACTATTTGATTTGTACAAGTTTTTACTAATGCTATTTAATTTAAATAATGTTTTAGCAACTTTTCAATATAGGTTATTTACAATATACTAGAGGTGACTAGCCACTTCATTAATAATGTTTTGATCCATTCAAAAAAGATGTGGGAGGAGTATGTCCATAATATTTACAAAATGTTCAATTGGTTATGGAAAATTTGGTCAAAGTGCATGTTTAGGTTTAAAAATACAATTTATCTTGGGTATTACATTTCTAATAACATCTTACAAGTTGATCATGATAAACTTGTGGTTATTCTAAAGTTCTATACTCCAAAATATGTGAATAATGTGTAAGATGAAATATCTTAGTCGTTTTGCTAATCCTCTTTCTAATCATAGTGCACTATTATAAGTGTTGCTAAAGTTGTAAATAGTTTTTTGTCTAGTTTGAACACTATGAATGGGCATTTGGGGAACGAAATGTTGACAACTCTTCTAATTTTGACATATCTTAATTATACTCAGTTTTTCATATTGCATATAGATGTTTTTGATATTGGCTTTAAAGGTGTGTTATTGTAAAAGAGTGTAAGTGTGTCTAATCAATATCATCATATTATGTATATCAACTATATATTACAACTGTATTTACATGGTTCTCAAATATTGTTAAAGGGTGAT